GTAAGGACTTAATATAGAACCCAATTCATGGCTCTGTAACCCACCCAGACACACTAAAAAATGTGCTTTGCTAATCTTCTAGGCAGCTACCAAGGTAATCATTTAGATAATTAATCATAACCAGTAGAGCTGGGGTTATAAGTATACACCACCTAATCCAGCTGACAGTGTTAAGTTAACCCATAAAATTACTTACAAAAATTTGTCTGTGGCCTCAAATAAAAATAGGTAAATGATTATTTAATGCCTGTTTGAGATTTGCTATATATCAATGTATGTATAATGAGTGGGTATACTAAAATCATTTGCATTCCCTCAGATTTAGGGAGATAAGCAAGCAGAACACTGAAAAACAATGTTAAAGATCCAATTAATGTTAAGCAAAGATATGTAAAGAGTACTACAAAGAGGGGCCAGGGATTTAGCTCAGTGGCAGTGCACCTGCTTCACAAGCTCAAGGTCCTGAGTTCAATACCCGATACCAGAAAAAAAAAAGAAAGCATAGTACAAAGAACCCAAAATGACATTTGAGAGAAAAATGGCCTGAGTAAATTGTACAAATATGGATAGATTCCAGACTTATAAATGAGAAAAGAGGCAGGTATATTTGGGAACATTGGAGGAGGGAAATTGGCACTGTCAGTTATATGCAGTTTATGAAATGAGTAAAAAAACAGAGCCAAGACAAAGTACCCCAAATCTTCAGTTCTGTAGGTCAGACTTTAAGCAAGGCAGAGCTAAAAGTATGAATTCATCTGCTTACAAAGACAGACCACGTGAGCTATGACTATCTAGGAGCACCAGGACTCCAAATAATCACTACAGGGACCCCAAAGGGCAATGGGAAGCTTGGCCACAGTAAACATGAAAACTGAGGAGAATCTGAGATATTTGGGTCATAGATAAACAAAAACTAATGATTTGTGGGCAATCAAAGATAAAAATCAACAATATCCCTTGATTAGTTTTGGGTATTTGAGAAGTGGCAAGAAGCGATCTAGGTAGATGATTTACACAAGGCTGTCATCAGCACAGAGGGTAGTGGAAAACCTGAGGAGTGAAACAACCCTAGGAGATGCAGAGAGAAAAGAGTAGAAGATGAACACTACCCTTGTGGTTGTCAACTGTAAAAGGGCTGGTGAAGTGAGAGAACCTGAAGGTCCTACAGAGCCAGCAAGATGGCCAGAGAATTTTAAGTCTTGAGAATCTAGGAGGTTGTGAAAGCTCAAGAAAGCCTAAAAAAATGAAGGAAATTTTAAGAAATGCAATCTCAAGATTAAGTGATGTAAAACTTTTTAAAAGATACTTCTGCACAGGTTAATTTGATGTCAAGGTTGATAAAAGACAGTGGAGTTTTGGGATCATGACAAAGAGGCAATCAGTTGAGATAAACCATTATTGTTAACTGTCTCCATTTCATCAGGCATTTTTGGATCCAATGAAAAAGTGGCTTCTGCATTCTCTCTTTTTTAAAAAAGAAAGATACATATTTTTCATTTTCTTCTCTCTCCAGTTAATCTATATGGTTATATTTAGATATTATATTTATTATTTTATTTTGCTTTATTGAAATATTTTAAAGTAAATGAAACATTTGATCTTCAAAGATCAGATGTTTTAAGCACATCACTTCTTACTAAGTATAACAGAGATCATCTTTGCAACTGAGGCTGTATATAATTATGTATGATTAAGACTTATAAATTATCTGCCCCACCTCCTAGATCCCTTCAGCTGAGTTTGAGAAGCCCTTGGAAATCCATGGAAATGCTTCCACTAAGATAAATTGTATTTGGCTTCTTGACATCAATAGATATTCAGCCACAGAACAGTGCTCATGTTAGACCATGCTAGCCCAATTCTGTTTTCCCTACATAGAGTATTGATTTTGTAGCAGCTGTTAATCATCCCAGTAAGTTCCAATTTGGACACTCTTCAACACAGAAGTCAGCACTGTGAGCAAAAACAGGCAAGGCAGTAAGAATCGCAAAGGCTTCTGGAAAGGTCCTCCAGTTTTTGCAGAACATATCCAGAAACAAATTAGTATCACACACTGAAAAATTGAAAGCCAACATGAAAATGAAAACCTTATCCACATAGTTTTTCTGAAATCAGAATCGAGTCTATGCTCACTGTAGAAATATTCTCCAAATTTAGAAGAAATCTGACAAAGACAAGTGGACTTTTACTGCACTGTGTATATTACTACCCAAATGTCCTATCAAATAGATATTTGCATGGTCATGATTTACAATCTTCCAGCCTTAGTCAGTCACTAAGAGCCTCTTATTCTGCCAGAGTAGGAAATATATGACTACTTAATTCTCATAACCATAAATTTCAAGTTGGAGGAATAGCTACCGATCAGAATTTCTCTCATTATCAGCTCTTACTTACATTACACATTTTTCCTTACTGAAAATCTAAAGGAAATATCTTAACTATAGAAATTTAGTAATGGTCACAGACTGATGAAGAAGGTAGAATTTTTTTGTTTGTTTTGTCTCAAGGTCATTAAAATTGGGCTCTTAATATGATCAAAATATTGTAAATAAACCATAAAAGAAATGTTTTTAAAATCTGTTTAACTGGACATAATTTTGTGTAACAATATCTGTACACATATCTCCTTGATGTGCACATTTCCTGCTGCAACATGGTATGCATTACCTTGGTAAACAATATGCTGAAGGGCAGAAAAATTAATCTTTAAAAGAACTTTAAGTATGGAGCGTCTTTTCTTCTATGTACAATGGAAAAAGTGAGTATTTTTGGATAGTGAGCTGTCATGGAGTATGGATTTTACATCTGTCAGCTCTGCGGGCTTTCTACCACCATTTTATCCAGAAATTTATCATCTAGTTCAAAGCCACAAGGATAAGGACATGACAAGGCAGGGTCAGTTTTGTTATGGACTGGGAAAGCCACAGCTATCAACAAAATCAGAGGGCTGCAAAATAAAATTAATGAGCCAGTAGACTTGAGGCTAATTAATAGTCAGGGCCTTGAGACCTTTGGGATGCCTAAGCCCTACTCCCTGGAGGGGAGATAACCAAAGAGAAAGGTGAATTTTTAGAAGTAAAGGGAAAGAACAAAATAACTAGAATTTGCCAGTCAGCTCAGCACAGATGAAGTCATTGTATGAATCACATCAAATAATCTAGTACAAGATGAAAAATATTTACCATCCAGCCTTCAAATAATGTCCACACGCACTGTGCACTGTGCCACTTTCTATCATGGGAAGTTGCAATTTTAATTTGAAAACTCGCACTGCCATTTGAAATCCATTTGTTTATTGTCTCTCACCTATGAAAATGTACAATGAATGAGAGCAGGTTTTGTCTCCAGTATTCCCCAATATTGTTTCCTTTTAACCTTCCAGCATTTGAAGCATTTCCATTATATATGGTAGTAAATACTCAATGGTTGCATAAATGAATGAAGATAAAAGAAAAAAAGCACGAAAAGAATAAGAATCAGAATAGCAGCCCTATGCACTTAAAATCGGATCTAGGCAACTAAAACCACATCAAATTTCAAATTATTATTAAAATAATTAACAAGCAGAAAAGGTTAGGAGTAGGTTAAGAGACAACATTTAAATGAGAATTTAAGCATCATGATATGAGCTTACAGACATTTAAATGCATTCAATTATCCTGTGAAGTTTTAAGGATAACCCATTTCCCCAGCACATTTGAAAATTATATGAAGTATAAGAAGCAAATCTTCCTTTCTCTCTGTATCTGCACATGTGAGAGGTGAGCTTTGTTAACAGTTTGGTACATTTGAAGACTTTTTAATATGTCTTTAGAGACAGAGCTATAGGAAAGTTTTCCTATTTGATTACCATTGTCATCTGTAACATTCGCCAGGTATTGGACTCTAGATCATAAGCTTCAGGAGTTCCTACTTCTTACTCCCTACAACCATCTTCAAATAGTATCTATACTGTCTTTTTTCACAAAAGAAGGATAGGAGAAAATATGTTTACTTAAAGACATTTTGCTTTTGTTACTTTATTTTTTGAGATCTCTTTTCTGGTTAGATATAACTTCTGTATTGACAAATATTTAGGCTCTTCCCAATTGCATGCCATTAAATATAACTGGTACATTTACTTTTGTAATATTTTCCCCTGTAGAATAGATATTTAAAAATGGGATGGATGACTCAAACAGTATTCACATTTTTAAATTTTGATAGATCTTATCATATTAGTCTCCGAAAGACTATTCTAGTTTAACGGGTCATCACACAATATAAGTGGGCCCATTTAAAAATATATGCACAGTAGATATGCACAAGCTTTATAATTTTTAATAATTTGAAAGACAAAACACAGTAACCCACTGTATAATTTTACATTTTGTTCCTAATAAAAAGCATTAAGGATCTTTTATTCATTATAAATATTTTTCAGTCTTGATCCATTATGCTGTAGATGCTTACTTTATAATTAAAAATTTGGGTCTGGGGATTTAGCTCAGTGGTTCCACCACTTGCCTCGCAAGCACAAGGTTCTGAGTTTGATCCCTGATACCAAACACACAAACTGAAAAAGAATTTGATACTTTATTAACCCTACCTTTATTATTTCTGTTGGAAATATTTTTGTGACATTTAACTCTAAAAGAGTTTTAACGTAAGTTTTTCTTTAAATAAAGACTAAGAGGCCCTGCCCGCTTGCATCCAGGAGACAGTGAGGACACCCCCTCCCCCGCAGGATCACAGGCCCCCGGCTTGACCACAGACACCCCCCCACCCCCACCACTCAGTGATCTAGTAACC